GTATCATTGAACTCCAAGTTTTATAACTAATAGCATGAAGGGTAGTTCAAAATAGAAGTCATATTACATATTATAGAGCCCGACAGAATAGTAAAAAGAATATGCTGACTAATTGAGAAGGGCTCATATTCAAGTAATGGAAATACAGTTACTAGAGATCTGGACTAGGAATAAGATAATATATTAAGTAACGATGCGTTAAAAAAGTGTTTCAAAAACCCCACTACATTATAATGATGAATTTAATTTGTAGTGGAAACAGTGGATTCCATACCTAATCATATGAAGAAAAATATTACCCTTCAAAAAAACACACCCCCTCCCCTCATTTCATTAAATTGCATACTCAACAATATAATAAATAAGTAGTCTTTATTACACAATCCTAAATAAAATATAACCCACTATACGAATGATTTAAAATGTATACACCTATTAATATTTTTTGAGTTTGAACATTCACTCAAAATCAGGGCTGTAAACCACTTGAATTCTAGATATTTTATTGATACCAAAACCCTTTTCTTAAATTTAGAATTCAGATAAATAACTTTTTTGAAAAATATTAAACTTTAATTTATTTTAAAAAATATATTAAAAATAAGATATATATAACTATAATAAAATTAAATATAAAAAAACATGTAAATTATTTAAAACAACATTTTTTGTAAAAATCATTTTTCGTGGAATCTTTTTAATTATATTTCAGAATTCTCCCTTTATATCAAAATTTAAAAATTTTACCAGCATATTTTGTAAGTTTTTTTTAAATAACAGAGAATGTATAATATAATAGTATATATTTTGGGAATATTTATTGTTTGTTGGGTTATTAAATTAAAAGTAAGACCAAATAAAAGAACAAATTCACATGGTAAAAGTTTATAATATGCAAATTGCAATCCACTGTTAAAATTAGGCTAAACAATCTATATTTTAATTTTAACATCTCGATTTTGAAAGATATCAGGATAATCCGCTTATAATTTAAAAAAACATTGTATTATTCTAATACAATTATATTGTTATTATAATTATAAATTATTTTTATGGTGAATGCTAAATATAGTAAAATAAATTTTTTAAAAACTGATGTTACTGTTAATTTTACTATTATAAGCCTTTTTTTCTGGAACACAATTAACCTGCCTGAAAGCCTTCGATGGTTTCACAGCCTTGCTTAAAATGATATAAAAATATACAAATATTGTTGAAAAGGAATAAACGGGTAAGTGTTGAGTCTATATAATAGGATATTCACCAGAAATAAACTCCCCCCTCCCCCACCTCAAAAACATATACGCACCTCCTAAAGAATTTTTACACCATCATATATTTTAAAAGAATAACTAAAATTATCAATACTCTACTAATAACTATCAAAAAGTTGTGAATGTAAAAGAATTATTTTTTAGTAAATGAATCAAATTAAAAACTCCCTCATTGACAATGAATGCATTATTATATTATACTGTTTCAAATGAATATTACTTTTCTGATTAAATGTCTAACGCTTATAGATAACTTTTTAGATGGCAGAAAATTATCCAAAATTAAGTTTGATTTGAAAAATAAATGTATATAGATTTGTTCGATGATAAGTTCATATTATAATAAAAGTATTAAATATTTTTTCCTATTCCATGTAAAAATTTAATTGATACCCACCTCCCCTACCAATAAATTTATCCTCCTGTCTGCCATCCCCCTAGATTGCCCCGTTAAATGCCTACCTTCTATCACCCCTCCGCTTATGTAGATGCTGGTTAAATGTAAGAAAAATTGTAAGAAAATAAATAATGATCTTATTTAAACTTCTCATATTATTATTATTACTTTTCATCAAGATACAAAATCATAATAAGCCTTATGCTCATTACTTTGGTATCATCATCAAAAGAAATGTTTGCTCTTCCATACTTTAAAAATCAACATAAAATAAATGTAATTAAATCATATAATATAAATAAAAACATTTTCTACTCCCACTATTATTTGGTCCCATAGGAGTAGCCAGGAGGGAGGGGCAAGGGAAAATCCCCCCTTCGGAAATTTATCACTTTTTGTGAATATTATTTTAAGCTAATAAAAAATATCCCCCTTAGTCCTCCCCCCACTCCCTGACCCTCAAAAATGTATGCACATATCTTAAACAATAATTTGAAAGAAAGAATGTAAAAGTTGATATTTTTTATAAAACTATTCATCATAAATTATACATTTTTGGAAAAAAGCATTTATATATATAAAAATTGAACCAAAAATGTTTTTTAATAAATGGAAATAAGCCAAAGATATGTCTTAAGACAAAAGTGAAATGTATTATAATTATTAATAATTATTACATTAAATTACTAAATAATATAATATATTAAATATAATCTATATTATAATTTTCCGATGTCCTCACTACGTCATCGTGACGTCATGTCATCGCTACGTCATGTCATCGGTACGTATTTATTTTTATTTTTTTTATTTGTTGATTTTATTTATTTATTTTATACAAACAAATGATCCTACCAATTTTTAGAGATTATTACTTTTAGCGATTTAGAACTATAAATAATACTGCTTGGACAATGGTTCAACAAGTTAATCATTTTCCTTGAATTTATTTTTAAATATGTTTTATTTTTTATTATTTTTAGCGATTATTACTTTTAGCGATTTAGAACTATAAATAAGACTGCTTGGACGATGGTTCAACAAGTTCATCATTTTCCTTGAATTCCTGAAATCGGAGTGCCAGTTATTTAAAAAATTCTCTAAATAAGGGTACTCTAAAACAGACTTAATCAAAGTTTCCTTTTCACTGATTTCATAAGTTAAATATTAGAAGAAGTAAGATTATTAAATTAAGCTAAATTCTTTTTTAAAAAAAGAAAAGATATATACTCTTTTTAACACTTACATATCACTTACACTTTTCACTCCATACTCTTCATTATAATATCACAAAACCTTTCAGGCAACTAATCCTTATAATTGCCTTATTCACTTATATCTGTTTGTTTTCTGAAGTTTAAATATTTAAATAAGAATATTAAATTAAGTTAATTATACTAATTATTTTATCTACTTTATAAATTAAGAATAAGAATCTTGAATTAGGTTAAAGCGTTGTGTAAATTTAATCAAGAAAGTGTTAATTAAAAAATAGGAAATTTGAATGCAGGTGGTTCAAAAACATTATGACCAATGTAAACTGGGTTACTCTTTAACACTTACTTTCACTGTATCACTAAATATCACAAAATTTTAAGAAACTACTTTATATATATTGCCTTATTCAATCACATTTCCCTGTTTTGAAAATTTTAAATATTATAAGTCTATTAAATTGTGTTAAATTAAACTGAATTTCTCTTCACATATAAGGGCAGACGTTATCATGATTCTCTAATAAGTGCTTTGTACAAATTATTATTATTTTATATAGAAATTCATAACTGAGTTAATTCAATAAATTTAATATCTCTAGGCTTGGGAAAATTTTTTCAAAATAATTATGAGTTGGACTGGGCTTAAAAAATATTTCTCAAAATTAAACCTATATTGGGATTTTTTAATTTTAAATGTTAGTCTTATGTTATTATTTTTATAAAGTAATATATTTTACCCATAGACTAATTGGTAAATCAGAAATTTCCCCTTCATTAATTATAAATTTAAGATTGTACAGGTGGTATATGGACTCCTCATCAGGTTCAATGCATTTATTTTTTTATATTATTCTTTTGTTTTTATTTTAGATAACAAGCCCTGTCTTAACCTTACTTAATAATTGTACAGGTGGTGATTTATCCGTCATTAATAAAAGAAAAAGATGGCAGGTCAATCAAAAAATGAAACGCACTAGGGATCGTGAGACCCTACAAAATCTACTAAGAACGCAAAATAAAGTTAGCCTTATATATATATATAAATGCATAAATTTTCTTATATTTTTTTATATTTTAGAATACATCTATTTTAGCTTCTGATGATATTCCCACTATTTCTAGGGAGTTGAACCTTATATTGACTCCTCTTCAGGTTCAATGCATTTATATTTTTAAATTATTCTTTTGTTTTTATTTTAGATAACAAACCCTGTCTTAACCTCATTTAATGATTGTACAGATGGTGATTTATCCGTCATTAATGAAAGAAAAAGATGGCAGGTCAATCAACAAAAGAATAGCTATAGGGATTGTGAATCCCAGCAAATATACTAACAACACATAATATAGTTAGTGTATATATATACTAAAAAGGCATAAATGTTCTTTTATTTTTTAGAATACATCCATTTTAGCTTCTGATGATATTCCCACTATTTCCATTGAGTTGATCCTAATCTTGACTCCTCTGCAAGTTTAAAGCATTCGTTTTTTTTAAATTTTTTATTTGTTTTTATTTTAGATAACAAACCCTGCTTTATTTCCTCCTTATAATTGTTTAAATATTGATATATCTACCATTAATAATCAACAAATACAAAATAAATGTTCAGAAAAGCATGATAGTCTTGATAAGTCCCCAACTAGACAAATTTTATTTTTTGATGATAGCCTCCCAACTACTAGAGATATGCATATATTGACCCCTTTACAGGTTCAGTACAGTATTTTAATGTTCGTTTTATTTCAATAATAATGTTTTATATTTTTGCCTGATTTCCTTATTTTTTTAGGTTAACCCAAACTTGATCCCTCACATAGCTACAAAACATGATATTTCTATTAAAGATAAGCAAAGAAAAAAATGGCGACTCAACAAAGGTATGCAGGATAATAAGGACCTACGCCTGATATTAACTCCCCTACAGGTTTTTAATGTTTTATATATATATATGTTTATTTTATATTCACCCAGATACCTTCAACTGATATTTCTATAACCACTACCACTCCCTATGGCACCTCTACCATGCATATTTCGACATATATTTGATGACCACCAATCACCTATGTTAGATATCGGAAACATGACAGAAATATGCGCCTTCTGCAATGCTAAAATGTGGAATAGAGAAAAATTATCAAAAAGCTCATGTAGAAATATTCAGCTTCTACATGTTGCTTGAATGGGAAGGTAATTTTATTTAAAATTTCCCAATTACCACCAAATTTATTATGTTTATTTACCGGGGATCATTGTTCATCATCCCACTTTTTAATAAACATAAGAGCATATAATTCCGCACTGTCATTCACTTTACTAGGAGTTAATATAAATAATAATTTATCTAATTCGACATCAGGTAATTAAAATTATACCTTTCAAATTAATGGACAGGTTCATCATCGCATTTGTTCACTCCTACAAACATTAGGGGAAACATCTAAATTTGCCCAATTATATATATACATGATAGTATAAATGAGATAGAAAACAGACATAACCAGGTTCCGTTTTTAGATCGTTGTATTTTAATAGAATTGCAGGATATTGTTCACACCTACAACCACTTTGCTTCTCAATTTTTGAGAGTATCTTCTATGATCGCTAATGGCGTTCCTAACATATCCTTAAACTTAAAATCTACTCAAAGTTTTGACATACGTTATCGCAATAAACCTACCTCATCTGAAATAGCAGTATTATTACCTGCTGATGGCAGTGATCATATAGCCCATAGAGATATTATCTTAAAAACTATATCTGGTCCTTTAAGACGTATTAACGAGCTCCATTCCTCATACGATCCCTTGCAATATGTTCTTCTTTTTCCCAGGGGCGATATTGGATATCACCCATCCATTCATTATAGAAACTCAACTAATAAATATGTTACCTGCAGAGAGTACTATGCCTATCGCTTTATGAGGCAGGATGATGAGAATGTTATTTTAAGATCCAAAAGTCTTTTTCACCAATTTATCGTCGACAGTTATTCCAAACAGGAAATGCTTCGATTAAATTTTATACGTAATAATCAATCCAAATTACGCGCCGAACTCTATCAAGGCATACATGATGCTATTTTAGAGGGAGATACTAATGCCGACAATCTTGGCAGAAGAATAATTTTGCCTTCTTCTTTTACCGGTAGCCCAAGGCATATACATCAGCTTTATCAGGACGCAATGGCTATTGTACTCTGCTTTGGTAAGCTATCATTATTATCATTATTCACCACTTTCACCTGCAACCCTAAATGGGATGAAATAATGCGTGAATTATTTCGTCATCAGACCCCAAACGACCGCCCAGATTTAGTTTGTCGCGTTTTTCGTCAAAAATTAAAATGTCTAAAAAAGGATTTGCTCTATTATCATGTTCTTGGCAGAGTAATCGCTTATATAGATGTCATAGAATTCCAGAAAAGAGGTTTGCCTCATTGTCATATGTGCCTTATACTAGATAAATCTCATAGGCTACCAACGGCTGATACTTATGATGAGGTAGTTTGTGCTGAGATTCCTAACAAAATAACTGAGCCTAAGCTGTTTCAAATTATTAGCAATTTTAATACACATGGGCCATGTGGTATAACATTTCCTAATAGTCCCTGCATGATTGATGGAAAATGTTCAAAAAAATATCCTAAATCATTTGTGGATACCTCTTCTATTGATAAGTATGGTTATCCTTTATATCGGCGGCGAAATGATGGCGTTACCTTCCAAAAAAAATTAAACGGATTTATATTTAACAACCGTTGGATTATTCCTTATAATAAACACTTATCAAAAAAATATAATGCACATATAAATGTAGAAATTTGTTCTTCAATCCAGTCCATAAAATACCTATATAAGTATCGTTACAAAGGCCATGACAGAACTACTGCATCTCTTTCCATTAATAATGTCGATGAAACTACCCAGTTCATTGATGCTCGATATATATCCGCCATAGAATCGCTATGGCGTACTCTGGATTTTGAAATGCAGGATCATTCTCCTGCAGTCTATCGTTTAGACCTTCATCTACCTAATCAACATTTGATCCTTTTTCAATCTAATACTGATTTAAATAATATCTTAACTAAAAATCCTGGTACAAAATTAACCGAATGGTTTAAAATTAATAATCTTGACACAGATGCCAGACAATATATTTATGCAGATTTTGTAAGATATTATGTATGGAAACCTCTATCTAAACAGTAAATAAAACCACAAAGGGGTGATGATAAGGTTATTCGTATACGCACAGTTTCTCCTAAAGAGGGTGAGGTTTTTTATTTAAGACTATCACTTAATTATGTAGCTGGGCCAACATGCTTTGAAGATCTACTCTCTTTTAATGGAATTGTCAGTAATACTTTTAAAGATGCATGTATTCGACATGGTCTGTTATCAGATGATGCGGAATGGAACCATTGTTTAGAGGAAGGTCTTTCATTTAAGATGCCATATCAATTGCGCCAGTTATTTTCTGTTATTTTATTACATTGTGAGCTGAGAGATCCTCTAGGTCTATGGAATTCTTTTAAATTTTATCTTTGTGAAGATTTTGCCAAGAAAATATCATCAGAGCCGGATAACCTTATCAACGAAAATCTCGCCCTATGCCACGTCAATCAAATTTTGATTCAAAATGGTAAATCTCTTAAGGATTTTTTGGGAATGCCTATCCATTTATTATCCACTCAATCTCCATCTGCCACAGCTAATATTAGGTGTCACCTTATTCGGGAGGAAATTTCCCACGATACTGATGATATGTATAAAAAATATTTGGCTAACTACACGGGATCAAAATATTATCTATACCAAAATTATGTCCTTGCCCTCCACTCCATCCCATAATTTATTTTTTATAGATGGTCCTGGTGGTATTGGAAAATCATTTCTATTAAATACAATATTATTTAACGAGAGCTCAAGGTAAAATTGCAATAGCTGTTGCATCTTCTGGCATTGCTTCAACTCTTCTTCATAATGGCCGTACTGCATATTCACGTTTCAGCATCCCCTTAAGTATTCATGAAAGTTCCTCATGTAATTTCATACCAAAGCCAAATAACTGAATTGATAAGACAATCGGTAATTATAATATGGGACGAAATATCAATGACTCATAAACATATATTCGAGGCCATGCATAGGTCATTTCAATAATGAAATTAGATAAATCGTTTGGTGGTAAAATTATTATTTTTGGCGGAGATTTTAGACAGATTTTACCCGTTATTAAACGTGGTGGAAGATGCGACATTGTTAACTCAACCTTAAAACGATCCTGTTTATGGTCGTATATAGTGCCATTAAGGTTAGGTATTAATATGAGATTTCTACTTCACGAAGCAAATGGTTATCTTATTAATAATAAATACTCAAAATTTCTTTTAAGTTGGTGAAGGCTATGAAACATTTGATGGCTCTAGGAATAAAATAAAAATTCCTGAAGATTGTTGCATAGCTTCCAATGATATCGAGGATCTTATTGCTTTCGTTTAAGATATACACAAAGACAATACGTCCTTTAACTGAACATCATTTGCTCAAAATGCAATCCTGACCCCTAAAAATGTAGATGTCGATTCTATAAATATTAAATTAATTAACAAAATTCCGGGGGATTTAATTACATACATAAGTGCTGATGAAACGATAACCGAGGATGAAGCGAAGTTTTATCCCACTGAATTTTTAAACTCTTTAAGTATATCAGGATTACCACCTCACAAACTTTTATTCAAAGTCGGGGTACCTATAATATTAATGCGTAACTTAAATTCTTCTTCTGCTTTGAATAATGGGACTAAAAGGATTATAACTCCTTTGCTACCAAATATAATTGAGGCGAAATTTGTTTCTGGTAGTTTTCTCATTACTGAAGTTCTCATTCCTAGAATAAGTTTAATTCCTACAGATTCTGGCTTGCCATTTTCCTTTAAGCGCCGCCAATTTCCCGTGAGACCTGTTTTTGTCATGACAATTAATAAAGCTCAGGTACAAACGTTGAACAAAGTTGGCATCTAATTACCTCATCCTGTTTTTTCACATGGACAGCTATATGTGGCTATGTCTCGAGTTTGTTCTCCTCATAAATTAAAGATTATAACTAATGATAAAACAAGAACTACAATCAATGATGTATATCAAGAAGTTATATCCGATTAATCCCGGTTTATACGAATAAGAATGAACATTACTTAGTATGATATTATTTTAAAATTTAAACAATTTTATATTATTTAAGCATCCTTTTGTCGGGCCGCACAATATGCCCTTTTAACTCCCATGAATATTTTGTATAATTAACTAAAAATTATACAAAGTTCATTTTTAATATTTAACTAAATTAATATAACAATTTTTAAGGATCCTATTTTTTTAAAAGTATACCATTTTGTCTGATCCACCATTACTCTATAATCCCTGCTGAACCCTGTTTTTTCACATGGACAGCTATATGTGGCTATGTCTCGAGTTTGTTCTCCTTATACATTAAAGATTATAACCAATGATAAAACAAGAACTACAACCAATGTGGTATATCATGAGGTTATATCCGATTAATCCCGGTTTATACGAATAAGAATGAACATTACTTAGTATGATATTATTTTATAATTTAAACAATTTTATATTATTTAAGCATCCTTTAGTTGGGCCGCACAATATGCCCTTTTATCTCTGATGAAGTTTAATTGCAAATTATACAAAGTACATTTTAAAAATTTAACTAAATTAATATAACATTTTTTAAGGATCCTGCTTTTTTAAAAGTTTACCATTTTGTCGGATCCACCATTGCTCTATTATCCCTGCTGATTATTTTGTATAACGCACAAAAAATATACATAGTACATTATTTTTATTATAAATAATTTTATATATGATTTTATATCTATTCCAAAAAATCTTCGTTTTATTTCAATAATAATGTTTATTTATATTTTTGCTGATTTCTTTATTTGTCTAGGCTAACCCAATCTTAATCCCGTACATTGCTACAAAACTTGATGAATCTATTAAAGATAAGCTATGAAAATAATGACGAATAAATAAACGCCTTGCCAGTTCTAGAGTTACTGGTAGCCAAAATAATAAAAAACTACGCTTGAAATTAACTCCTCTGGTGATTTATTTATTTATTTTTATCTTATATTTTATATAATTTGCATATAAGTTTCATTAGTGTTTAATGGCACTTTTATTTAAATAGAAAGCATTTTTTTTTTATTTAAAATAATATAGACAAATAATTTGAGAAATGCAAGACATACATTAAATTTATCCGAAAAGCTACAATAACCCTATATAATAAACAAACATTTATTTTTTATATATAATTATAATTGATCATATTACCAAAGAGTCGATTATTTTTATTTTATTTATCATGATTCTCTAATAAGTGGATTGCCCAGGCCTTCCCAGTTTCCTTTAATACAGAATTCACATGTTTTTTTTTTACATCTTAAACTTATTGGTAAATCATATAATTCCCCTTCATGTGATGATAAATCAATTAAAAATTTAACTATCTCCTAGGTGGGAAAATATTTTCATAATTATATTGGATACGACTGGGCTTGGAACCTCAAAATTTATATTAGCTTGCACCTGACATGGGAATATCTTTAACAAATTATTAAGGGTTGAGCTGGGCTGGATAAACTTTTATAATTATATGCTTCCTAATAGTGTGAGGGATCTGGCATGACATCTATCGTAAAAAAATGAATAAAAATCTCATTCCCCGTCATTTTTGAAGGGCTTTCTACTAGTTTTTTATAAAGTGAGTAATTTTAATTTATTTATCATAATAAAAGTAAAATATTATTATAAAACTATTGATAAGATTATATCATAAATTAAATAAAAAAAAATAAAGCACAATCAGTGGAATATTATATGTCGTAGATTTACAGTATATCTAATTTTATCAAATATCATATGACAATCAAGTAATTTTTACCAATATAGCGAATTATATATTTTACAGAAAACTATAAAATATTGATAAGGACATCAGAAAATATCTTTTAAAGACATTGTGGGATGAATAATATGAAGATTTATTTTTATGATCATTTTTATTTAAAATAAATAGATGGTGTTAAATAATTGATTGCAAATTGTTGCTATATTTATTATCAAGAGCATTGATTAGTTAAATTTGTTAAATACTGTAACATATTCTCTAACTGTCAAATATGTCTGTAAAAGTGGAATTTAACCTAGTATTTTACTAATACTATATAATGAGGAATATCAACTATATGTCTACTTACTTTTTATAAATAAATTTCCTATACTTGTTTGGACTAAATTATTACCATGCTTTTATATTAATGTATATACAAGTAATATATTATATTTATATAAACTAATAAAAATATATTTCATATTTGTTCCAGGCTTATTTTTTTTATTAAAATTAACCTCCTATCTTGTAAATATATTTTATGACTATATAGAATAAGGTAACCGGGCCAGGACCGCCCCAAATGGAGTCTTGGGGCGAAGCCCGAAGTAATTTTTGAATCCCCCCCTTAGGAAAATCCTAGTTACGCCTATGTTTGGTCCTTTTTTTGAATTAAGTTTATATCTTTTAAGTTAGGATTAGTAGTAGAGAACAATATTATACTAATATATTTAAAATAATACTTTTCTGCTATTCTACTGCAAATATATATCATATATATTTTAATGCTACTTCTTATTTTTTTAACCTAAGGTGGTTTTTAAAACCGATCCTATTTTTTTCCCCCAAATATGATGATTATTTATCAACCATTTTCTTTGATAGAGATTCCGATTTATTAGGCACCAATTTTTTTGATTAATGTTATTAGGTATTATTAACTTTCATATAAATTTAAACTAAAGTAATAAAAAAATATTTTAAATAGCTACTTTGGGGCTTACATATAGAACTATTTCGAATAAATATACTTACTAGCAAATTTAATGAAATATTCTCTTCGAATCTCCTCTATTCTCCGTTGTATGGACAACTTAGTGGGAAGATCTTTAATCTATTTATAAGTCATATTAAAAAATAAACTTAATCGATGGTTGTTATTTATATGTATATTATTTAATTGATATTTTGATTATATAAGACAATTGGTTGAGTTGGAAAATCATCTTACTTTTTATCGTTTTTGAAATATAATAAATATTTATAAATAATAAACTTCTAATCATATGTAAATATAGTATATATTTCATGCTAAATGAATCAAATATACTGTTTGATTATCTATATATAATAGAACAAGAAATAATCTTTTATCATGTTAAGTTTAAACCAATGATGATATATCATATATATATATATATATATATGTATGTATCATTAATTTAAACGAACTTAAATTAAAGAAAAATATTAATCATTGACACATATTATAGTATAAATAATTATCTTAGAGACTTAGAGATTAACGATTTATATATTGGTCTGGTGCGAATGGATGATAAATTCCAATATAAATATTTTTCAGCACTAGGGTTACACCTTTATAAATAGTTGAAATATAGAATAATCTGTTAATATTTTTATTAAATTTTAACCGATATAACTTTACCACTATTATTTTAATTGTATATAGTATTATGATAATAATATAGTAATATTGCACATAAATTTTTTTAAATATTTGATATTCTTTATATAAATATCGGTACGATAATAGCAGTATTATATTTAAATCTTGATAGCCATTAATAAAATTTAAGCAAGATGATATTAAGGCGTTTTTTTATTGTGCTTGTCTAATTTTAACATGTACATACATATAAATGGAAATTATAATTTTAACATAAACATACATATAAATCTAAATAATTTGTATTAGAAATAAATTTCTCATTAATCTACATTTAAAAATTGAATGATTTGCTATATTTTCATTGCATTATTTAATAAACTTTAAACTCCACAACTACTATATTAGATCAAAATATTCTTTACTGAAGAAACTAAAGTTTCTTTGTATTTAACTCCTCTAATTATGAGTGTTACAACTTCATTAGAATAAAAATGATCGAAGTTAAGGCTTTTTGACATGAAAATAACAATTAACCATATAATATAATTCCGGAATGACTGAAATTGAAGAACTAAAAGTAATTTTATTGTGAAAATTTCATGTTTGTAAAAAATTATAAATACCATTAAATTGTTTTAATTTTCATATTTATAAACATGATTTAGACTATGTTAACTCACTTTAGAGTTCATGATTTGCAACAATTATTAATCTATGCAGGTAGGAGTAAAAATGGTAAAAAATCAGAATTATTAGAAAGAGCTTTAGCCCTATTGGAAAACTGCCCTGCACCAATGAAAATTAAAATAAGGGATCTGCATAAGTAAAATATAATTTTATTACTTTTATTCTAAATAGTAATCATCTTTTAATATATTTGATATAATTTTTAACTCAAATTAATATTTGATGGTTTTATATGAGCTGTTAATATTTTATATATTTTTTATAGTAAAGTAATGGCATCCACCTCCTATTATTCCATCCTAAAAAATAGATATTTTTTCCAGGATCTCAACAATAATTCTAATAATATTAACAATAATACTACTTCTACACCTACTAATATAAATAATGTTAATACCATAAATGGTTTACCTGTTAACTCACAACATAAAAATTCAAACAATGTTTTTACACAATATTTTTATAGTAATAATACTGGGAAATCTAATTCCAATGACAAAAATTATAATCAAACTACAAATTTAACCCCTTTAAATATGGGCAATATCAATAATCTCAATAACAATATTTTTAACAATAGTCTCAAAGGTGGTATAACATATTCATCTCAGCAACAATCATACAACCAAAATTCACAATTTATTGTTCAACCAATTATAAAATTCAAATCACTGCCCTTTTATGAAAAGTTATCAGACCTCATAAAGCCTACAACCTTAGGTTAGTATGATAATTTTTTTTTTATTACCTTGATGCTTTTACATTAAATTACTTTTTACATAATTATGAAAACTAAATAATCCTAATTTGAATTTAAATGAGCTCATCATCTCTTTAAATATTAATTTTTTTTATTCTAAATAGAATTTGTATGGTCATATCATTTTATTTATTTTAAAATAGGATATATACACTAAATAATTAAAAAGATATACATTAGAAAACAAATAAGCATAAAAAATTTAAAAGAAGATTTTATTTATCCTTATAGTTTTAAAACAACCCTCAAAATTAGGGTAGATCTAGAAACTGTTAAATTTATAGGAACCAGAGCCAGAACCCATTTTAAAATTATAGGAACTGGTTTCAACAAAAGTGTAACTGCAAAAAATTAAATGTTTATTTAAAATGTTCTATGATTGATTTAAAGGGTTATATTTAATTTTTAAATTTTTTTTTACATAGCTTTAACTGAGTTAGCCAGAACCTGAATCTCTTGAAACCACATCTAGTCAAAGAACTGGAAGCAGAACCCCTTCTTCTAGTTTTAAACTAGAACCCTTTTTAATTCCGTTCAGGTTTTAACCTGATTCCACAGTTACATGCATAGTATTGAAAAATAATACTTATCTGAATATTTATTATTTTTAGTATAGAAATGAGATAAGCTAATTGGGGAAGAATAAGAATAGATAAAAAATTAATAAAAATTGAATCATAAATAATGTAATTTACCAGGATTGGGTAAGTTGCTCAATAGACTGACCTGATCAAATATAGTTAGATACTTTAAAATGTTATTTTATTTGCGAATAAATGTAATTTATCAAAATCCTCTTTATTATTTATTGGTTGTTTTCCAGGCTTATCTGCATAATTTTTTATTACCCCCCTTATCTACTTTTTATAGTTCTCACACAGCTTACCTAAACTTTACCATTCAGCTTTAAAGATACGGTCCTCTTTAAGAATAGATGGCATCTCTCGGAACCTCTTATAAGCAATTACTCTTGCAACAACAGCAGAATCTACACCTCCACTTGTGTTTAACATGTCACCCAAATAACAAAATTTTCCCATTTCTTCCAGAGTTTTGTTCACACATGTTCCATAAAATTACACTTGATATCATCAGTCCTTTCTCACCACTACATCCGTTATGTAGATTTCTACCAGCTGGAATATTAGATTGTATTTCTTACAATATCACACATACATCACATGGGCAAGTGCTTGTTTCTTCCTTACTTCCTGATCCTCCAATCATCACATTAGTCGAGATTTTGCTAATTCATCTAGAATCAAATTTTTATCTAAAATAATCTCTTTATAAATATTCAATAGGGCTAATCCATTTAAACGTTTTTCACTGGTTGTGTTTCTTAAATAGGTTTTTAACCTTTTTAAAGTTGAAAAAGACCTTTCATTAGTGCAGATACTAATTGGCAAGGTAGCTAAAATAATTAATAATGTTTTGATAATAGGCAGTGAATCTAAAATGCAATACACTGGAAAGGGCCTGCAGAGCTTTTTTTGGTCTCAAAGAATACCCTATTCTGTCAAGATTTTTATACCAAAATTCGACATCACAAAGTAACTTATCATATGAACCTACTAAATCATCAGCATAAAACTCTGAGATTTTCTTAATATCCTCTCGTGTTTCAAGTGTAATCAACAGTTTAGACTCAACCGGCAAAAGAAAATAATAGCTTTTTAAAATATAATTATGACTAATAAATCTTTCTTTAATTGAAATAAAAATGTATCAATAAGGGGAATAAAAATGTTTATTTTATAAAAATCCTCAATTGTAGATGCATCAATATTTGATCGATTAGATTGTCTAGAGACTACTCTAGGTTTAAAAATTTCAATTCCAAACATTAGCAATCTCCTTTACTTTTTCATATATTTCATGAAATTTTTCATCCACATTCTCTCTGATATGTGTTAATATTTCAACAATATGCTTTGCTCTATTCATAATCTCCCTTAAATCCAAATCAATTTTTTGTAGCATTTTGCTAAAATCATATGTATAATTAAATAAAAAATAAACACATTGAATTGAAATTAAAAACTGTGGCTTAATAATAGCCTGCAAAAGATTTTCGGCATCTGCTGAATCTTTTTCCTTGCTTGATATATAAAATTCTAGTGCTGCAAAGACAACATCATATAGTTCAATAAAGAGTTTCACCGACTCTTGTCTTTCGATTAATCTGGTCGGACAAAATCTTTTTAATTTTTTTTTTGATTTTTTGAGTTAATATCATGATACGTTTGAATAAATAACTCCCTTTTTTGGGTGGGTGGTGTGAAATAGCTGCAAACCAAAAATAAATATAAAAATAATCAAATGTGTATATCTATTATTATTTATAATAAATTTAAAACATAAAAATCAAGCGTTTATTAAGAATTTATTAAATTAAAATTTAAAAAATTTAAAAAAAATAAATTTTTTTCATTTTTCATGGGAGGGGAGTTTGACCCCCCCCCCCCCATTCCTACGCCACTGATGCTTACACACATATATTGCAATTATTCTTTTGATTGAATAGAAGACATTCAATTATCACAACAATGTTTAAAATACTGCAGATAGAAATCCTGAAGTCCCTATTTTCCGAATAAAATATTTGGAACAAATACAAATATGCAAAAAGCAGTTGTAGAAGAAACTTTATGATATTTGTTCCATTCATCAGAATTCAGCCCGAACTTGCGTTTAGATTTTTGAAAAGGGTTTTTTGGTTTGACGAAGCTTGATATTTATTTTATATAGTGTGAAAAAACATAAATTTTCATTATTTAAGATATAGCTTGGCCTTCAATGGATCTTGCAGATCTTGTTATGAATAATATTAGGGCTGTGCCGATCCACAAATTTTTCACAGATCCGATATTAATAAAAACCCAATCCGATATTTATATTGATTTTTATTGACCATCTATTTTTGTATCAATATTATAAATATATAAATATTTATACTTTAAAAAACCAACTAACTTTCACGAATGATTAAATGTTTTTTATTTTTCATAAATTAATAAATATACTCATTTAAAATAGTTGCAATGTTTATGGGTGAATGTAGTGTTGTTAAACAACTTCATTTAGTCGATTTAAAAAAAAAGCCAAATCAAAATTTTAACATATTATTACCCATGCCTCGAAATTTCGCCAATAGATGTCCAAACCTTTCTGATATCTGTGGGAAAAATAAATAAGCATGAGTAATTTTGGTTAAAATTTCGAGTTAATCGTTTTTAAAATTGGCTAAATCTAGTCGTTTAGCAACACTAACTGAATATGACTCCTTAGATGTCTTAAAATTCTTTTATTTTTGCAGATATATAAGAAAAAATAGTGTAAAATTTAAACTATTTTTTTAAACATTACAACAAATAAATTGTATATTTGTTCCTTTCATTAATTTTTTATTATGAAATTTTTTATAAAATAAAAAAATTATATTATATAGAATTACAAAATAACCGAAAACAATAAAAAAATATCGAATCGGATTTTTTAAAAAAGATCAGCCCGATCCAATATTAAATATCCACACAGCCCTAAATAATATATTATTAAAGGAAATACCTTTGTCTTTGGCTACCTTGCTGTTGAAAGTGCAAGAAGATAAATGTGCTTAGATCACACACTTTATAAGGTTCAAACAATTTTAGATGATTTAATAAATAGTAAAAGTAGCATATTTAATAACTAAAATATTTTTAAGTAAATTAAAAAGATATAGCCATATTTCATTAAGTTGGTGGACTGGGCTGTCAACCTTGTAAATCAAGAGAAGAGCTAATATTTTACTAACACTTCTAGTTTTATTCCTCTAGAAATTGTCCAATGGGGTAACACGTTCATACGAAAAACAGAAATTGATTGAAGATCTAGACAACAGGAAAATGGGTAAGCATGGCATGCCCATAATCGATAGATGAAAAGCATAAATAAAATAATAATATATTGAATTCAAAGAATCTATAAAGAGAGCGAAAATGAAATATTAAATGCTAGAATAAATGAAAATGAATTTTTTTAAATCATAATACTAGGGCTGAGCCGATCCACAAATTTTTCAACTATTCGATCCGATATTTATATTGATTTTTATTTACCATCTAACTTGAACCAATGTTATAAAAATATCAGTATTTTCTATTTAAAAAACCAACTAATTTTCACGAATATTAAGTATATTTTATTATTTATATTCTCCAAAAGTTAATTAAAATATTTACAATGTTTATGAGTGAATGTGTAGTGTTGTAAAACACCTCCATTTGGCCAATTTCTAAAAAAGGCTAAATCAAGATTTTAGCTATAGTATTATAACATAATCCTCGAAATTTCGCCAATAGAAGTCTAAACCTTTCTTCTATTTGTGGGAAAAATTAATAAGCTTGAGTAATTTATTTTGGACGAAATCTTGAGTTAACTGTTTTTAAAATTGGCTAAATCGAGCTGTTTAACAACATTAGCTTAATGTGACTCGTTAGATATTTTATATCCTTTCTTGTTGCAGATAATACAACAAAAAATAGTGTAAAATTTTTAATTATTTACTTCTTTAATTTATTATGAAATTATTTATAATATAAAAAAAAATATATAATTATATATACAATTAAGGTTGTCGAATCGGGCTTTTTAACAAGCCTATATACAATTATAAAATAATCCAAACAATTAAAAATATCGAATTGGTTTTAAACAATATTAGCTCGATCTGATATTTTTAAAAACGCTCAATATCGGAGCTGATCCCATTCGATTTTTAATATCGGCACAGCCCTACATAACACATTTATTTTTGAACATATATTGAGGTTTATTGTTTACTATAATTGAAGTTAATACTATCTTACATTTATCTGAATTGGGCCATATTTAATCGGTCAAATATCAATTAAAATCCTATAATTTACAGCCTTTTTTTAGATAAACTTAATATTAAAATATAATTGTAAAATAA